ATTTTAATAGCTGAGGAGTCGGGCTGTAACTAACCACAGTGTTTTTTCTTTTAGCAGAATATACACTTTCAGAGTGTGTTTACTGCTCGCAGGAAGAATCCCTTACATCTGTTAAACATCTTGGGGAGGAATTCACATGGCAGAAGAGCTTGTTTTATAGTTGTGCATAGTTGAATGGAAATAAATTCTGTTTCATGTAAAATTATGTAAAAAGCTGAAAAATAAATCTTTGGAGATGTCTCGTGTATTAATGCATTTCGTTAAATTGAAATCCAGGCTTTGGCAATCAGCCTATTTTAAGTGAGAAATGCCAGAGGTTTTTTTTTACAGCAGCTCTTACCAGACTGCTTAATTTTATATTGCAGTGAACACCTTGTAAACACTTAAGTAGCTAAAAACACATTTTTACTGCAATTTGCCATTTGTTGTTGTAACGTGTTTGGGTTGTTTTGGATGGCCTGTTAAAAAATCATCACCTCATGCTAAGTTTGAAAAGATTTTTTTGGGTGGAAAATTGGATAATAGTCCTTACCAAAGGGTGTACTGTGGGCCAGTAAAGTTGCAAATGCCAAAAGCACAGGACATTTATTGGGTTTCATGGTGAAACCATAATGGGAGGCAAATACTGGGACTGCTGGTTCAAGTACAGACCTGCATCACCTTGCTGTACTATATACAGTTCAAAATTTGCAAAAGAAGCTTGATGCTGAAGACATTTGAAGACTTTTAAATGTAGCAGTTAGTTAAATTCAGTCACTCCTGAACCACTTGGGCAAGCACCAAACCCACCAGGTCAAAAGACCAGCCCCTTCCAACCAAAGCATTCTTGTGATGTCATCATAACCATCTCATGTGAGGGTTACAGTATGTAACTTCCATCTTAAGCAGAATTAGACCACTGCATTCCTGTCAAAATCAGTGTCCAGCTTTCGTTTTTCACGCCTTGCTGGGCCCTAGATTTCTGTCCATTTTAATATCTTGTTCTGTGCCTTATCTTGCACAGAGATGGTTGAATTGTCTAGCCATTTGAATAGGAAAGATGCTTCTCTAGGAAGCCTGTAAGGAATCAAGGTTCCACGTACAGTGTCACTGTATCCGATGTTTTCGATTTAAAAAACTAATAGGATACTTTAACTTCTAACAGTGGAAACTAAAGGCACAAGCTTGATCAGATGCTGTGTGATGTTGGAACGCAAGACATCTTGCAAACCAGGAGGCCATTTGAGCTTGTTTTTATTTTACGGATTTTGCGAGATGGAAATGACAGAGCATATGTGCTAAAAGTGCGCTGAATGGATCTATTCTGCCACTTCTAATGTTTTGGTTTGCGGCAGTGCGGGCCTACCATACTACAGAATTGTAGTTGTACCGTTGCAGATGTAGACATTGGCCAATGTCTCTCCATTCTCTTCCTCTCCGTGCAGGCCGGGGTAGCGACTCTGAAACCGACACGCCCCTCCGGAAGATACCCGATGTGAGGAAGGATGACATGCTTGCCCGGAGGACCTCCTACCACGAGCCCCGGACCGTGGTGCCCTTCAACCAGTACCTGCCCAACAAGAGCAACCAGAGCGCCTACGTCCCCACGCCGCTGCGCAAGAAGAAGGCCGAGCGAGAGGAGTACCGCAAGAGCTGGAGCACTGCCACGTCCCCCATTGGCGGAGAGCGCCCCTTCAGGTAACGACCCCCGGGCCGGGGCAGTACCGGGCACACGCGCCCATCCCCGGGGCAGCGGTCTTCCTCCTGGCACGGCGACTCTGCCGCAGGCTGGTTTCGTTAACCGCAGGCTGAGAAATGCGGGTGTCAAATCTGGGAGAAGCAAAATGTGCTGGTCAAGGTTTAAATCAATAATCCCGTTTCCTGTATACATTTGTTTTTTTAAAGGTGCTTTCTCGCTCTCCTGTGTGAAAATATACTTGTTGATATAAATGATCTTCCGTTTCCAGGGTAAATGGTGCTAAATGGTGTGTGAAATGCTGTTTCGGTTGTAATTTTTGAAAAAAGTCCAAGTACTCATTTTACTGGTTATTTGCCACTTGAGGTTAATGGCATTACCTTTAATAGCACAAAGTATTGCAGCCTCCAAAATCCTGTTGTTCATAATGCAGATATAACCAAGACATTGACCAAACTTCTCATGTCATGAAGGGCCTTCACCTGACTCGGAAGAACTTTTCTGGAAAGTTCTTCTGTTTGTAAGTTACGTATGGTCTGTATATCCATTATGTTTGGAGTCGTAGACCGTGACGTGCAAATTCAAGATGGAAGCTGTTCTCTAATCGATGTCTGGACATCGGTGTGGTTCACTAGGTAAAATACAAAAATGTTTTGTGTGAAACTCAAGTCAGGCGGATGTTTTTTTTTTTGTCATCTTTGTGCGTGAAGGTGACATGGTGCGCTTCTGTGACGGAACCCCGATTGTTTTTGCGTGATTCGGCGGTCACCTCAAGACTCGCAGCCCTGTCACAGAGGGTTGTGTGGGAAAGAATGAATAAGTTTGTGGGGGGGGAGATGTGAAGTAAACAGGGCTGGTGCTGAAAGGTCCTCTCTGGTCTCTGCTTCTAATTAGAGGTCTCGGTAGCTGCCAGCTCTCTCTGAAGAGCTGCTGCTCAGCCTGGCTTCGTCCTCCCCTCGCACAGCCCCACAGCAGTTTGCACTTCACTGAAAAGCAACACACCCAGCCATGGCTGTGGGCTGTGTGACAGCACTCTGTCCACCCTTCGTTTGCCCTGCTGCACCCCGCCGACTGCTCTCTGGAGTCGGATGACGCGACTGTCCTGGGAGGTTATGTTAAGTCATGCCAGTGAAGTAATTGTTTCATTTTTCCCCTCTTTTCCGCAGTTCCCGAAGTGTGGCCATGGTTATTCAAACATGAATATTTATTTTAGTACACTTGACCACTTCTCCCTGGCTTTCTCCCTTCGTGGATTCCTTGCTCTTGGACTTTTATTGCTCCCTCTAAAAGTCCCTCTTTCAGCCGAGTACAATTTCTGTGCTCAGCTTAAATGATCTCAAGGAAGTAGTGCGCTACCATAATAGTACTTTTAATATTTTATCGTCATTTACAGTAATAACAGTTTTAGAAATAACTGAACAAAGTAGCATAATATAGTTATGGATTTTGTGCTAATAATAATTGCTTACACTTATATAGTGCTTTTCTGGACACTCCACTCAAAGCGCTTTACAGGTAATGGGGACT